GGCGCGGGTGTAGGCAGCTCCCAGCGGCAGTGGGGTGGCTGTGGGGTGCTGTAGCATCCCTCTCGGCTCCTGGCCCCCGGAGATCTCACCGGCCCTTCTGCACTGGTTATACAGAGAGAGACAACACGTGTTCAAGGCAGGGAGCCGAGACAAGACCCCTGGGCGCTGCCAGGGTCTGAGGCCCCCGCGTATCCCGTAGCATTAGGCCGCTTGGCATCAAGCGCCGGCAGCCGGAGCGCTGGCCCCACGGCACCCCAAGCCCCTCTCAGTGCCAGGCCGTTTCCGATCAGAGGCGTTTCGGCTGCCAGCCTGGCCGCCCACATAATCACATGTGCCCACTGACTCCGCATGTCTTTAACATGCAACAGCCACAGGGAAAGCTGTCTGGGCTCCAGCCCTGGCCCCCGAGACCCCCGGTCCTGCCAGGTCCTGTCCCTACCCCGGCACACACCGGTTCCAAAACCAACCTGCTTCCGGGACAGAGCCGAGTGTCAGCCCTGGCCCCGCTCCCCACGGCCGGGTGGCACTGCCTGGCACTGCCTGGCAAGGGGACACAAGCCGGTGTCCGATGGAGGGGTGCACGTACCTCGGCACAGCCCCAGCGCACGCTCTGCCCTGTGCCCTGGCACCAAGCAGCGACTCGGCTGGTGCCGCTGCTCGGAGGAAGGCCAGGGCACAGGGACGGTCAGTGCCTGCAGTGGCTCTGAGCATCCTTCCAGGAGGTTTTACTCCCCACACACTTAATGCGTTAAGCAGAGAAGGGAAATGTTGGAATATCAGCCTGTTCTGCACTATCCCCACTGTGCCCAGCTCTCCTGGGGTTTGCAAAGCTGGTCCCCATGCCAGCCAGCGTCCCCCTGTCCCCTGCCAGCCCCGAGGGCAGGGCTGGCATCGGGAAGGCAATGCCATGGGGCTGGGCATTGCCTTCTCCACGCACCTACCCTGAGCCAGCCCCGTGCCGTGCACCGGGAGGGGAATGCAGCCGGTCTCCAACGGGGCCTGAGGGACCGGGTCAGGAGGATGCTGGTTCCCGGCTCCTTCCAGCCCTGGGCATAGATCAGCCCCATTTCACACCTCCTGCCCGTTCCACACAAGCAGCGCCGGCGGCTCTGGCGCTGGCAGGGGAGGCAGGGGCCGGCAGCCCTGTGTCCCCAAGCCGCCCTGTGGTACCTGAGCGGGATGAGCCGGCCGCGTGCACCATACCTTGCTTCTTCCATCGGTTCTGCGTGAGCATCTCCATGGAGCTGATGAATAACAGCAACATGAATATTATCCACAGCATCTGGGCAGGAGTAATTTCGGGCAGGGAAGAAATCAAATCATCCAAGCGGCTGGTGGGCTCGTCTCCTGCCAGAGCCAGCCGAGGGGCGGCGGGGGGGGGGGGGGGGGGCGCGGGGCCCTCCCACTCCCCCC